TTTAAAGTGTCTTCGAGATTACTTCATTTCATATAATAATATAAAAGACTCATGGCTACTCGTATTTAGATCACCGCCAGAGAGAACAACTGAAGATACTACTGAATATTTTGTTTGTAGATTGAAGATTGACAAGAATGTATAAGTTTTTAGTTTCCTTCTCGTATTAAATCAAATAATCGCATCCTTTAAAAAACTTGAGTTTGATTGCAAAGCGTTGCGTCTTTTGAGAAGCTTTCCAAATGAAATAGATAGCCGCACTCGTGCTACAATGAAATATCAAGCAAGGTTTATCATAGTGTAGTGCTGCATTATACAACATTTTAGAGGCTAGGATGAAAATGGGTGAACATTGAGCTGCTCGCACCTTAGAAGAAACACTTATACAAATACTCCCTTATATTGGACACAAATAAAGGAGCATGATAATATGCGAGATGGCATTTAAAACATGTGAAAAATATATCTCATAAAATCAGAAAAACTAGTGGCATTATTTCGGTAACAGAATTTGAAGCGGTGTGTTCATTATCTTGCAAATCCTAAAAAACAGAACCGGGAACTAGTTCCTTCTGCTAATTTTTCGAATGCCCTAATTTATGTGAAATCAGAAAGCTCTTTTTAGGTTATCAAAATGAAAAATTCTTTAAGAAAAACTAAAACCGAATACAGGCCACCTTAGCCACCAGTTCATTTCTTAATTTTTGTTCCTTTATTCATTCGAAACATGTACAATTTATTTTAATATATAAGGATAAATTATCACTTATTGAAACCTTTGGTCAATACACACTTATATTTTTTCACTCTTTCCAAACTACATTTTTACAAAAACATATTTTATACACGGTTATTTGCAAAAGATTCCTCAAAACAAGAAAAATCCTTATAGAATTTATATATATATATATATATATAACGCAAATATAGGAATTTCCAGTGAATGATATCCTTGCCCTATTTTAAAATCATTTTTTATTTTTCTTTGGTAAAAACGAAAAATTAATGGTCCTGTAGCAAAACCCTATAATGGTTCTCTTAATATAAAATTTTCCTAAATTTTCAAATTAAAGAATTTAAAATTATTTTTAAAAACAACCTAATTATAACATAAAGAAAAATCTGATGCGGTCAGTGCATAACCAAACGCAATGTGCATTTTCTGGTTGAGTGAAAGTATTACAGAATATTACAAAAATGTCTGTTAAATGTTTTTTTTACAATTTTTAGGACATTAGTAAGCCTATAGTTAACATACCTAGAAAAATGTGAATTTGGTTCTTAGTAGAGTTTCGCTTTGTGCTACCCCCAAAGTGCCCCAAAAGTGCTCAAAAGTGGTTCAATTCGTGCCATGGTCGAAATAAACCTATGTATTAAATTTCATCAAAATCCGTTCAGCCGAGCATGAGATTCGTTCACACACAGACCGACGGGTTGCTAAAAAAAGTTTACTTACACTTCCCTACTATGGAAAAGTGCATTCCCACCGAAAACTCGATATACAAAATTTGTTGCCATCACATAACCTACCTATGTATTGTTTACACAATACGGTCGGTAAAAATAAATAATGAGAAAAAATTTTCAATAAATCCTTAATTTTTGATAACATTTTCTCATAAAGAATAGTAGAATTAATCGATAATTAAAGCGTTATATAGGCTTATCCGAATTAATTACAATTAAAAATCATTTTAATGATTAATTGATGAAAAAAATAATTAAAAAATTTTGAAATCACAATTTTATTTTGAAAATCTAGTAAAGTAAATACTTGAAGGATTATGAAACACGATTAATACATTAAGTGTGTTGGTGTTTATGTTAAACTTGTATAACGTGGAAAAGAAGAGCACACTTTCTTTAGTTAATTCATTTTAAAATACGGAAACAAAATCTATTAAGAAACGGAAGATCGCAATAAAAATTCAAATTTACATCTTAAGTTTCTATTTTTATCTCAACAAAATAATAAAAAGTCGTACGTAAACCATGTAGACCAGATAGTCCCGTTGTAATACGACCTACATTAAGAACTGATTTTCTTTATACATGACCCTTCTGCCGCGGTACAACTTCGACCACAGGTACAGGGTTCTGTTTCCCCACCGATGGACGTGGGATCGGGGTGGCCCGTACTTAGGTCGGGTTCGAGCGTGTGGTATGCGGAACGCTCGAAAACGGAGTCGGGTGTGGGTTCAGGTGTATACGGTGTCCACCCGGACACGCGTGTATATACAACCCTTGACCCGTATTGCACAGTGTTCCAGGCCGAAATACATGCAATAGAGATCTGTCTGAGAATCAATTTAGAAAGGCTATACCCCCTTTAAACCGCACCATCTATGTGTTCTCGGACAGCAGGGCTGCACTGCTGGCGCTTCGTTCAGCTCAGGTTACATCCAAGCTGTTCTGGGGCTGCCTTGCTGTACTTATGGAATTGGCATCTGAGAACAGAGTGACGCTCATTTGGGTTCCGGGCCATAGTGGCCATGCGGGCAACGAAGCTGCCGATGGGCTGGCGCGGAGGGGATCTGGGGCTGACTTTGTGCAGCCGCTGCCTTTCTGCGGTTTGCCTTCTTCCGCCGTGGGGGCCTGGCTTGCCTGCCTGCTCGCGGCGGAATACGGCCGTCACTGGCGGGACACGAAAGGGTGCCGTCATGCGAAAGTGTTTCTTTCGGCGTGCTCCAGCGGATTCACCGCAGAGTTGCTGGGGATGACCAGAAGCCGGGTTCGCACTATTGCGAATTTCTTCACGGGGCACTGCCCAGTGAAGTACCACCTGCATAGCCTGGGGAAGTCGGGCTCCCCCCTGTGCAGGTTTTTAGGGGGTGGCGTTGAGACCGCCGTGCACATTCTTTGCGACTGGCTGTTCGGCGCCGCAATTGTCTTGGACATGGATCCCTAAGTGTTCGGGATCTGTTGTCCAACTCCCTTAGGGATATCTCCGGGTTTGTGGTTGGGGGTTACTCCTGTCCCACTCGGTTCCCTTAGAATCTACAGAATACATGACCCTTTCTTCTATTAATTCATTGTTTATTTTATAAGTTCCTACAATTTTTGGAAAACAAAAAATTTAAAAATCAATTACTTACACTTTTCATAAAATTTTGATTAATTAGTAGAAACACGTAAATTTAATGGAGGTAAAATAATTAAAAAATTAATGAATTCTCCAAATTCATTAATACTAGCGAATAATAGGTAAATTTTTCCTGTATACTTCAAAAACATAAATTGTGCTGGGCCACTTTTAAATAGCTCGCCACAAATTTCACAGTTTTGTTTAAAAAAGGATTATTCCAAGAACACGGTTCAAATGTAGTGTATGTCTAGAAGAAATTATCTTTCTTTTTCGATTAGCGCAATAATTTAATAGCAAATCTCACGACACAATAATGGTGATTAGACCAAATGCGTCGATATTGGCATCTAATGAAATTTCACTGTTTACTCGTTCGGCATGTTAGAAAAAGAGATAATGAGAAAGTTTAAGAGTACGTCAAGTCTCAGTACACTAGAGTTTTACAAATTTTACATTATTAATCATTCCTTAAAATAATTTTAATGGAGATCTATCTCTATATCTAACAAAAAAATCCAACCAATAAACTATTGTAAAATAAATCAGAGCTCGGAAAAGGAACCTTTTCTCACGTAAAGAAAAAGAACACTTATAAGCAATTCAAATAATGATGCATTGGTTGTGGCACCGGTTTTTTAACTGAAGCCTCCTTAGTCAAGTGATGACCCTGGAAATAAAACTTTACAAATGCTTAATTTTAAATCGGCATTTAAAAAAATCGTTCTGGGATTACAATGGACAGCCGTTCCATAACTAAATTTACGAACGGCTACTTGCTGAATACCTTAGTTTTTTTATAATTTTTTTTTTCATAAATTAAACAATATCACTACAGGATATTACAAACTGAATACAAGTTGTAAACTGATTTCCAATTATACGATATAATTCTGTAAAATGTTATTAAAAAACTTGTTATATATCTATCGTAACAATATTACCTATTGTAATTAAATATATAGAAAATACAGTCTACATATATACAATATACTTCATATATTATCATTAAAATTTATATGATGAAAATTTATGCTTATTTATTCGGATTAAGTAGAAATGATAGACATGCATATAATTAGATCATTCCATATAAAATTGTATAGTCGTGTTTAAATATCTAAGCATTCTAAGAATTATAAAATTTCTGGTTGTTCGAATTCTGAATTTTATTTGCATTACAATTCACGATAAATTTCAGTGATCGTGTATATACATATTCTTAATTTAATATCTACATATATGGGTACATAAAATCACCTTTATCGCAATACTCATAAAATTTAATTAAATAATATTATATAGAATCCTTTAAAATTAATTTTCCCTTAATATTAAATTCATTTAAATTCTTTTTCTTAAATATTATATTGTTTGCAATATTAACACTGGTATGATAATTGATGCTTGACCTAAGCAATTGGTCTGGCGAATAAAAATGAATTAGATTATAAAATTTTTCACAAAAAAAATTTGGTTAACATTAATTTTTTAAGTAGTAATTTTAATTCAAAAATTTTAATATCATACAATTATTATGTAATATGTAACCAACATACATACACACATACACAATATACATTATATATAAATTCATTTCAGTTTTATAAACGTGCGCCAAAAAATCACTGCGCAAAGATAATAAATTCTAATCATTATTATCTATTCATTTATACTCTACATATATTATACACACAAACATAATATATTGTAAGCATGTAAATTTGCTATATGAAAAATTTAATATACACACATAAGCTTAACGTAGGAGTAAAAATATATTTCAAATACAATGCGTATATATGCGTATATTTGTGTATGTAATTGAAATGATATCGTATCTATAAAAACACTTGAAATCGTTAAATTATTATTAGTCTTGCAACAGGTGTTTTGTGGGAAAGTTAAAAGGTGATTATTCAACTCTTCTATATTATTAAAAAAAAAATAAATTAAATTAAAATAAAAATAAAATTTAACAAAAAGGAAATAATTTTTTCCTAATTGTCCTTTAAATTATAAAATATATTTTTAAAAAAATATTGACAATAAAATACAAAATATAAGGATTAAAAAACAACATTTTTTTTTGTTTAAAAAAAAAGAGCGAAAATAATATTATCACAAAGGTGCACAATATACAAGTAGATACCAAACAGGCTATAATACCAAACCACATTTATCTAAAATAAAAAAGGTTAGTAATTTACTTAATAAATTCAATTAAAAAATTTTTTTTTATCGTAAAACAAAAAACAAAAACAAAATTTTTTGGTTTCCTTTTTGGAAGATGAAAAACCGAACAGTGTATATAAAAAGTGATTTAATTAAATTTTTGCCACACAAATCGAATTTTATAGGAACATTAGTGTTAGAAAAAATTTAAAATTTTTTTTTTTTTATTGAGAACATTGTTTGTATAAAAGTTTTTTATAAATAATTTCCTAACAAAATTTTTTTTTTATAAAATACTTATATGCAAGAAAGTTGGAATTTAACTTGGGTTCCATTATGGAAATCGATTCTGAATCGATCTAATTCGTCAAATTCGATTTAAGTCATAATTATGATGGGGTATCAAGCACATCTTTATAGTTGCAATCAACTGTTTTGTCGACTTGGAAAATTGAATACGATATGATGGTATAAAATTTGATATCTAGTGAACGAATCTATTGAGTGAAATTGTCTTCCAAAATAGCATGACCTTCTTCATAATCGTAATATTCAAGATGAAACGATTTAAATGCAGGTTCTACAATTGAGCCTAAAATTATTTAAAAATTTAATTACAAATTTTGTTTTTAAAATTTAAGAAATTTTTTCAAGAATGTTCTGTTAAATTTTTAATAGTTATATACAAAATATTAAGAAAAATTAAGAAAAACTAACATGATCGTATAAATAAAAATTTCCGCACGCCATTTGTGGAAAACGTATAGATCAACAAAAAATTCGCAAAAATATTAAAAACCATAACGAACCAAATTCTAGGCTCATTAGTTTCCTTGTAATTTTTTTGAATTTCTCAATTAATTCAATTTCATATTGAAGAAAGGTTCTAATAAAATTAATTTTTATTGGTTTTGTTAGTTTGTCAAGAGTCCCATAATTATACAGAATGCTTTAAAAATTGAAAAAACTTTGCATATATTGAGGGGCAATTCCTTTAAAAAAATAAAGTTTTTAAATTATTTGCGGGTGGTAAGTGTTATTATTAAAAGACATTTGTCGTTCAGATCACGAAATTTATTCTTAAAAACTTCTTACTTATTAATTAATAATTCCAATAAGTCAACCACACTTTTAATTGAAATTTCCAAGAACAAAATTTCCAGAAAAATTATCGAATTTTTTTTTAGTTTCTCAATCCTTATTAAATTAGAAAAAAAACTGAATAGTTTTTGTATTGGAAATAAGTTGAAAGTAACTTTATTTTTATACATTGATTAAAATTGGCTGCGGTTACAAGAACAAAAAAATTGCAATTAAAACAAAATGTGGTTAAATGCGAGAAAAATATTTCGCGACTTCTAAGAATAAGAAATATTTTTAAACAGCTGGAAATTTTTTTAAATGATCATGAAATAAATTTAGATAATAGGGCTATGTGAGCTCTTCAATTTTCATTCATAAATGAGAGTGTTGGGAGCGGAAGATTCAAATATTAAATTCATTTTGAAAGATGATTATCAGTAAACTTTTTCAGATTATCAGTTTTTACTTTAATATTGCTGATAAAACTTAAATAAAAAGAATTCAATAAAATTTTATATTTTATTTTACATTAATAAATCTTACACTTTTCTTATATAGTCCCCGATCAACCGACAATACAAAAATGCTGTTAATGTGAATTTAAAAGTAAAAAAAAAATTGGCTAACTTTCCGAATACAGTAATTTGATCCACAATAAAAACTTAATATAATTTCAAAAAAAAAAAAAAAAATTTTTTTTAAAAGTTTTCTGAAAAATTTCAAGAATTTCATTTTTACAAGGAAACAAAGAATTCATTAGTTCAAAACAAACGAGTCTGAAAAACAAAATTAAAATACCTGTGAAAAATTAAATTTCTATATTTCTTAAGAATCAATACGCCTATATTATTACACTGGTCTACATATTAAAAGCTTTAAAAGTTTCTACTTCATTTCATTTCATACCCTTTTCTTAATAAGATAGAGAGAAAAATTTAATTGTAAAAGTTTTAACATGCCGAACAGTATGTAGAACAGTTCGACAACAGAATAAAAGTACACAAGTGATGGCGAAACCTCTTAATATTAAATTTCTAAATTATTTTTCACATTAATTACAAATAACATAAAAATTTACAATCCCAACGTTATTTTTATGTTATTCTTAAAAGAAAGGCGTGAAGGCAGCTATTCTTGCGTTGACCTTTCTTTTAATTTTAAAATTCTATAGTAAAAAATTTAGTTTTATAACACGAAGTGCTGGTAAAAACTTTGAACATTTTATTTTTAAATGCACACAGGAATTTTCTTTTTATTTTTTGCTAAGTTTTCTTCTTCAAAATTAAAATTCGTAATATAAAAGTTTTTCCACAAAATTTATTTATATTTTAACGCGTAAGGATTAATTCAAACCTATTGTTCTTTTTAAATATTTTAAATTTTTTTTTAATTTATTGAATAAGTTCTATAACACTTTTCAAGTGCAGTTTTAACTTTAAGAATTTAAATAAATATCATGTTTGACGTGGTTTTCTATACATTAAACACAAGGAACGTTCGTATTTAATATTAGGAAAATATTTAGTTTCATTCTATTCGTCCGTCCGTGTGGTTGCTAATAAAACACCCTAACAGCTAAAATTTTATTCACAAAAAGATTTTCACTATAGAAGCTTATTTCAGTATAGAAGAAAATTTTTTCCTATCTCCACCATTTAAAATTATAGCTCCCCATAAGTCCTGAAATTTTAATTTTTATTGTACCAGAAACATTTTTTGAATTTCACAAACGAAGAAAAGGAACAACATGCTTCTTTTACCTTATAACAGCATAGTTAAAAATTTAAATGGCAAATTCACTATTGAATTTATTCCATTTCCATTCCATTGGAAAAATGTAAAATTTTAATTTTCATAACCTTATATTTACAAAATACCAAAACTTTCCAAAGTTCTGTAAGAGCAAATGCCTAATTGTAAATGCCATGTCATAAAGAACCTTAATTCTGCATCTTGACTTACTTATAAACATCGAATTCGACTATTATATTAACGCTTCCTTCAATTTTTTTTTTGTTTCCTCATCCTAAATGTATGCAATAATTTAATATATTGCAATAAATGAAAGTTTGTAATTTAAATATTTAATAGGTTGGTTTCAAAAACAGTATTTTTCGCTTGTTCAATTGAAAAGTGCTACTTTGCAAACCTTTAATTTGTTTCCATTTAATCACATATTATCGCTTGTAGTTCTAAAACCAGTCTTAAAACTGATTAAGTTTAAACTAATATATATACAGATAAGGTAATGTAAATGGGAATAGTTACATTAATTTCTGGTATATTATAAATGTGAATAATTGAAATTAATCAAAAATTACAGGTACATCTTCAAAATTCTTAGCAATAATTTGTCGTAAAGTGTGATTTATGTTATCAATTTAACAAACACTGTTCTTATTATCAAATTAATGCTCCTCTACAGTATAAACGAATCCTTGTACAAAATATACACAAATCTTTAAAATTTTCAAAAATTTCTATAAATTATTCCGCTCATAAATTACCCAACCGTACTTGTTTTTGGTCATTTAAGATTAATTGCCTTATTCAATACGTACGCGTTTTTAATAAAACTTGTAATGTAAACTAATATGAACAAAATGTTGCATTCTTGAAACACAAATTCACTGTGAATATTTTTATAATACAGATTTTACTTCAATTGTTCTAAAATAAAAAAAGAGAATTTTCTCTCGAGAATCAGAATTCCTCTTAAATTATAAATGCGCAGATTTGTAGATATAAAATTAAAAATTCAAAGTAATTAAAGATTATAAATTACTTTCAAATTTAACTGTACAGACGTTAATACATACATATATACGTAAGTACTTATATACGTGTGTAAGAGTAATAATATTTATTTAATCCTTATACATCTTCATTTAATCAACTTATACATCCGAAGCACTTCTAGAACAGAATTCTTTTGAATTTATACGCGATACCAATCAAATGAAAAAGTCAGTCAAAAAACAAAAATCTTAAATTTAATTTAAAGCAAATTTTGTAATAAAAAGAAATTTATTAAATGATTTTTTAGTATTCATACTTCGGATTACTGACACATGAATGAAACTTGTTATGCTTTCTTTGTGCTTTCAGAGTGTTGATGTAGGTTTAATACTTGATTAAAATAACATCATCAAAATTTAATTAAAAATTTTTTAAATAATATGAGAATTATGTCCATATGCAGACCCCATAATATAAATCTTTACTTACATTCTATTCATGTAGCACACTTACCCAAATTCAAATTGAACTGCAAATTTTAATTAAGTCAAGTTAACATTAGATCTTTCTTTTCAAAATAGATATTTATAGTTTAAAACAAAGAATTAATTAAACTCTTCAAACCGTTACTGCAATTCAATGCAATGTTTTTTCCAGAATTTTCAAAAATTCAAACATAAAAATTAATTTTGTGTCTTAATTAACACCATTTATGAAAACAACAATAGTTATTAAGAAAGCTCTGAACAATTATTAAAAATTGTGGAAAAAAAATATTGTTTAACACACTCCGTACAGAAGCTGTAAACAATTAAAATTTACTTAAAAAGAATTGGCAATTTATAGTTTACAACCTGTTATCGGAATACCAGATCTACTCTTGACCATAACTGGCATTTCTGTTTAATTTCTGATTAGCAGATTAAATCTGTAGCTCTATCATCATAAACTCACATCATTCATTTGAACTTTTAATTTCGAATTAAGTCAGCATTCTTTAAAACTATATTTTCGATCCCAGGCATGAACTTACTGTTGTCCTGTATAATAACTGATTATGATAAAAAATTTGGATCAATTTCTAAAGAACATTCTTTGCAAAAAATTTGCAAAAATTTTGAATTCCAATACTGTTTGGTGTTAGCATCATGAATTCCTGTTCCAATTGTTAGAGCAAATGATTGTCAATTTTGATGAATT